CCACCCCGGGTCCCGGGGGTGTCCTCTCCCCGTCGCCGGGCACGGAGCTCCCCGCCGGTTCCGCCGCCCCTACCCGGAGCGGTGCCGGCGGAGCCGCGCTGCCCAGCCCGCCCTCCCCAGCGCTCCCGGCCGCCTCTCAACTAAGTTGCCGAGAAGCCATTTCTGACCCGGCACCTTCCCCGAGAAGGGAAAACATTGCCAGGAACCCGCGCTCATCCCTTCTCTCTGCACCCTTTTTTTTTTGCAGGCGTGGCTGGTCCCAGCTAAACATGCTGCCAGGAGGGCTCAGGAAGGCGCGGCAGGCTCTGCCCTGTTAGCCCGGGGTTCCCGGGGGGGCTTCAGCCATGAATTCCTCTCCCCCCACCCCCGGGCCCCCCCCCGGCCCTCTGCAGCTCTGGCAGGAGGAGAACCAGACCCAAGGTGGGCTCTGGAATGGGAGCCAGGAGCTGGGCTGGGAAGAGCTGGAGAAGATGCTCTTCCTCTTCGTGAAGGAGCCCGTCACCATCAGCCTCACGGCGATGTACCTGGTGTCCTTTGTGGTGGGCTTCGTGGGCAACATCATGTCCATCAGGGTGCTCACCCGGAAGCGCCGGAGCCGCGTGTCCAGCCTGAGTGCCACCCGCAGCCTCCTCATCAACCTGGCCGTGTGCGACCTCATGGTGGTGTGCGTCTGCATGCCCATCACCGTGGGCAACCTCATCTACAAAGCCTGGGTGTACGGGGACTTCCTCTGCCGGGCAGTGCCCTTCATCCAGGCTGTTTCTGTCTCCGCCAGCGTCCTCAGCCTGACCGTCATCAGCGTGAACCGGTACTACAGCGTGCACAATCCACTCAACGCCCGGTCTTTCTTCACCCAGAAGAGGATCCTCAGCACCATCCTGGTGGTCTGGTTGTTGTCCTCAGGGATATGCATGCCCCTCATCTTCATGAACAAACGGGATGAGATTGGGGTGGTGGAGGGCTTGCCTCTGGTGTTTTCCATCTGCAGGGAGATTTGGCCTCAGGAGAGGCTCAAGCAAGCCTACAACTTTCTGCTCTTCTGTGCCCTCTACTGCCTGCCGGTCCTGTTCAACATGGTCATCTGCTTTCTCACGGTGCGCCGGCTGTGGAGCCGCAGCAGCCAGCTGAAGGAGAGCACTGCCCTGAACCGATCTCTGCCAGCCTCCAGGCTGAAGATCCGGAAGAAGGTAGCGCAGATGGTGGTGGCCCTGGTCCTGCTGTTTGCCATCTCCTGGCTGCCCGTCTACCTGATGGACATCTGGATTGATTTCAACATCCCCAAATCTTTGCAGGATGTCACTCCTTCTCCTTGGATCCTGCAGCTCAGACCTTTTGCCCAGTGGCTTGGCCTCACCAATTCCAGCCTCAACCCTATATGCTATTGCTTTGTTGGGAACCTCTACAGGTCAGCCAAGGAAATGAAGAGCAAATACCACCAAAGAATGGTCTCTCTCTTTAACTTCTCTCTGTCCGAAGGGACAACCCGTTCCTCAGTCCCAGAGCTGCTCTCGTACCGGAGTTCAATGGACCCTGCAAGGAAAGGACCCTCTGCCACCCCCACCATGGGCAGGAGATGTCAGGGAGGACATGGCCATAAGAACAAGTGTGGATGTTTGAACTCCTGCCAGCATCCAGCCCTGAACACTGTCTCCAGTGAGAACACTTCCTTGTAATTCTGCTCGGGAAGTGCACCTCATACCCTCATCTGCATTTAATGACTCTTTAGAGGTCTTTCTGAACCAGATATTTTAACGATGGAAAAAAATTTTCTTCTAATCACTCCCACCACCAGTTAAAAAATACTGAGACAGGGAAAGAAGCAAATAACAAGAGAAAAAGATGGCATATTTTAACTCAGATCAAGTTTTAAGACAAATGATTTTTACTGGGGACAACTAGATGTGTAGCCTGTTGCCCAGTCAACAGTCACATAATTAGACAGATCAACTTCCCAACGAGTGAGCTCTCCCCGCAGCTCCATCTCTGGATGCAGAGATGCCGTGTGGATACAGCGATGATTTGACTGCTTGCTGCTGCTCACCCTGTGCTGATAAAGAGCAGCGGTAAGAGGCACTCTCTGCTCCAAATCCATCAGTTGTAGTTGCAAGCAGTGATGAAATGCTAGAAACGGCACCATAAAAAGTAATAGTAGTGGAGAATTTCACACACTTTACCACTTGAGATTTCATTGTCTGATCATATTGTTTCACTCCTCCATGCAAATAAATTCTCCTGATGTGAAAAGACAGTGCCAGAAGTACTAAAGCATCCATGACCACTCCACATTTGGGAATTCTGAAGGGATAATGGGGCCTCGGAGATGCTTTAGGAAATGGAGTAGGAAAATATTCTTTGGGTATCAGCTCTCTTTCTTACAGCTATGTTCTTGCAGGTGGAGTGAAAAGAACTGGGCATCTTTTAACATGATTTGCACTTGAAAAACCAGCCCGTGCTCAGCTGTGACTGTACCAAACAAAGTCAATGGCATGTGAAAATAAAAATAGCAAGTGGTTTATAGCTAATAAAATCAGAATCAACTAATGCAATGCTATTTGTCTGGGAAGGAGAGAATCAAAGTGCTTGCTTTTCCTGAAGATCAGGAGTAGGTTAAAACCTATTTCTTCCATCATCTCCTTTAAAGGAGGCTTTGATAAATAAACTGTATACTTTTATTACGTTAGCATCAAAAGGCCCCACTAAAGCTTGAGAATTCTACTGTACTGAGCACTGGATCTGTATTCATAAAGAAAGGAAACCTTTCTCCCAAAGATCTAAGTGAAAACATGTCAGACCAGGCAATAGATGGGAGCAAAAAAAATACAACAAAGACCCAAAAGGCTGGAATGAAACTAAAGATCAGCTCCTTCCCTGTGCCTGCCCAATGCTAAGTGTGAGGGGATGCATACCGTGTCCTGATGCCAGAAGAGCTCATGCCCCGGCTACTTGTGTACCAGCACCCGGTGCAGCAGGGCTCTCCTTTTAGTGAGCTCCAGAACGAACGCAGCAGCCTTCCTGGGAGAGGATTTTGCATTTAATGGAACTCAGGCTTTTGATGACTGGAGACTTTTTTTTTTTATTACTGAACAAAGGAATGACGTTCTGGGAAATCTAAGTTTCAAATAATATCCTCCTGCCTTCTAGGGAGCCTTTTGCTTACAAAAAAATAGCCATTCAACCCAACAGTATTCCCACCTTTGTAATGATCGCTCAATAACATTTTATGTTAACAATAATCTTCCTGGAAAACAAAAGATGCCTCCTTAACAGACAGTGCCATCTGCGATTTGTATCCTCTTTTTGTGTGAACGAGAAAGAAATTACAACTACCCAGATTTAGTTTGGGTGAGAAATCGCTTTTATGTGTGCTGGGAGATGAGAACATCTGCATTTTTGCAGGTGATAGAGTGTACCGACTGCCTGATCTTTTCGTAGCTGTGGAGGAAAGCCTGTCAAGCTTGCTCCGAATGCCCACTGACTCCAGGTCCTGGAAACAGATGTCCTCCACCCCCAGACCAGATGTGACACAATACTGAAACTTCCCTACGTTGCCCTGACCAATGTATTTAATCCTGCCCTGAATAAACCGCAAAGGACGGACCATGGAGATGCCAGACCAGCTCCATCCCATGAGGTGGCCCAGCTCTGAAAATGGCCAGGATCAAGTGACGCAATCAAAGGTGCAAGAAATCCACATTTTAAAGTATCCCAGAGGATGATTTTTTTCTCTCAGTTCATGAGCTGATGCCTGGGTCCTGCCCTGAAAATCTCTGTACCCTCCACGGAGGCAGAAATACCAGGGACTCTGTGTTCTCCTGAACATGCCCGTGCCTGATGCAGATGCCCATGCCTTTCTCCAGCCCCACAGTGCTCCTAACCACCAAGATAACACTGTGTCAAGAGTTACTCCCACTGAGCAAGGTCATCTCCTCTTTACACTTCTAAATGTATTTTCCAGTTTCATTCAGTGTTCCTGTTTTCCTATAATAAAGTCAAATTGCTCACTTTAACTCCTCTGTGTCTCCCTCGGTCACTCTCTCCCTATCCCCCATGCGCCAACCGCTTCTCCACTGTTTCTATAGCGAAATCTCCCCCTGCCTCTCACCGTCATCAGTCTTTGCCTGCGAATTCCCCTCACTCTAACGACTCATTCATGTCTTCACTCCTCTGATGAAAAATCCCTTCCTGCCCTGCTGATTTGAATGGCTCCTTTTGTGCTGCAGACACCTGTTTGCTACAGAGAACACTGATTTATTTTGCACAGCTTACTCGATGGCTGCCAGGTAGTAATGAATTTCGGTCACTATCACCCAAGGGTAAATGAGAAGCAGAGACATCAATGTGAAAGCCACACAGCATCTCATGAGCTGCCCAGGCTCTGGCAGTGATTTTATTAACCTGAACAGGTCTGTGTAACGCAGCAGTGCCTGGGTGACTCATGCTGGCTCCGGGTGAGGTGAAACCTCAGCATTTGGGAAAGTGACTTTTTTCCCCTCCTATCTGATAAAAGATCTCTTTATATTTAGGGCTGAGAAGACATCTGAGGGTCTCCCGGGCCACATAAGCTCCTTGTTTCAGATGCCAGCCACTTTGATAGGCATTCAAGGGACTCCTGGCTCTTCGAGGAATCAGGAGCAGACTGTTCACTCTGACTGGTGAACACAGATGGTTTCTTCAAAGGAGCTCAAGCAAAACGTCTCGCACTCAGTATATGACTGAGGAAATGTGTTTCTCGCTAAATGCACCCAGGCAGACTGGAAATGTGAATTTTAGATGTCTCGAGGACAATGCTTTCCCACAGCAATGCTGCTAATACATGTAAGTCCCACTCTTCCCCCCACAGGTCTTCTCTGCTTTGCCATTTGAATCAATACAAGCTTTTTAACATATTACCAAAACGGGATGTTTAAAACAGCTTTAGTTGAATCCCTTTGCTGCGGTAAGGGCTTACAGAGAGTTGCTGTTCGGTAACTCTCTCTGGGAATATTCCATCATCTGTTCTTGTACCGTCAGTATTGTCTCAAAGATGCTACAGGTTTATTTTCTGCCTGTGAACCACTCAAGAGATGAAAAAAAGAGATAATCTCTCGTACAAGGTAGCATAGAGGTACATACTATCATGACTGTTATGTAGCTCTCATATGGAGAATGATGACTCACTGTTTCTTATAATAAAATACTCAGGGGAAGCCAGTGAAATGATTAGATTGCATGTGTAAGGGCAAGGCAGCACCTTTTCTCACACCGCGGCAGCCACCGAGCTCACAGGCAGAGGAGGTGGTGAGGGCTGAAAGCAATAAAAAAGGTTCAGGAGGAGACTGGTCACAGCAGAAAAGACCATCAAGGGCTATTAAAAACAATGATGCAATTTCTGGCTTACAGGGCATTGGGTACATAACCTATAACTTCCACTCTTGCTCCTTCTCAGGACACGTCTTACTGGCCACCATTGGGAGCAGGATGCTGGGCTGAGCATCATTTGGTCTATTCAATACCCTTGTTCTTACGTCCCTATGAAACACCCCCTCCACATTAGCCGTTTTAAAGAGGGAGAGCAGGGGATGATTTCAGACCTAGCATAATTTGATCAAGAGTAAAACTTCGCAGGACAGTCATCTGGAGGTAGGACACATTAATGCTGACACAGCGCAGGCTGAGAAATGCTCACGCAGTCACTTGCAGAGTGAGAGCTGAGCAGTCCCAGCGGATGGTGCATGGTGCCCACTCCAGTGCAACGCAACAGAAATAACAGATCCATCCCTCTTCTAATATTCATCAGCCCTCTCGGTGGGTCAGCACCTTCACTGCAACAACCCTGAGCATCCCAGAAAGAAGAATGTCCTCCAAAATGAAACTCCTGCCTGTTGGTATTTTACATATTATGCTTCTTGATGCTGGGATTCAAACTAGGATGGAAGCTGGCTGGTGAGTTATCTGCAACACCAGCAGCCCCCAGCATGGTTGCTGTGTCTGCTCCCGCACTTTTCCTACCACAGCACATCCCATACACAAACACCTGAGCTCTCCTGACTTGAAATATCTAAAAGAATGGGGAGAGCACAGGAGTTGCCTGGGTTTCCAGCGCCTTGTGATGCCCCTGTTGTAAAGAACCAGAGAACTAACAGTGCGAATTTTCTAGGAAAAAATCAGCACAGCTCAGTTTACCTTTGTGATTATATTCAGCATGAAAATAAATCACTGGCGGCTGCTAGAAGAACAAATAAAAGAGCAGCTATGAGCAGGTACAACCAAAGAGATCGCTGGAGCCCTCTGGGAAAGTCAGCCTCCAGGTAAGTACTGCTTGCCTGGCACATATGGGGATTATAGAAGACTTTCCCAAACTTTCTGGGAATGAATGACTACTGGTTAGGTCAGCCCCAGGAGCACAGGAATTGCAGTAGTTGCCTTCTCTGCCTGCTAAACATCTTTAGGCAAAGTCCCAGGGCTCAGAACTGACACAACGCAACTGTAAAGTCTCATGCAACTGCCCACCCCCAAGCTTCCCTGCCAGCCCATGACAAAGGATCCTGGCTGCCCTGATTTAGGGATTTTTTCACTCTTAGCTTGAAACAACTTGGAAAACCTGGTCTGGGGCAGAGGAGGAGCCACACTAGGATAAGTGCCCGATCTGGAGAGGGAAGGATGTTGCTTTCTACCTTCCCACTTTCTACCTTCC